TGGGTTGCAGCGGTGCGGTCGGGGGGAGTCAGCGAGGGTTGTCTCGCCAGGGTGATCGACATGGGGAGGTCACAGCGCCGTCAGCATGAGGCTGCTGCGGACCATGTGCAGGACACATTCAGGGCCCGCTCCCGTGTCTATCGGTACCTGGTTGTTAGCCAGAAGGTCGACAACAAGGGGGTCATGATGCTTCGTTGCACGTTTTGCAACAAAGTTTTCCAAGGGACCCAGTTTCAGGCCACGAGGCACTTCTCGTAGACAAACTACTGCAAGGACGTCAGCGACGAGGCGTTGAACGAGATTGCTCGACGGACTCAGCAGAAGTTTGAGGCCGATCAGATGGAGAGGGTGTTGAGGTATGCAGCGCAGCGCGGACTCGATGTGCCCGACACGGGTGGTGCAAGGGGAGGAGAGGCGGGGCGACGTCCGGCGGAGGGAGGGGTCGGGGGAGATGGTGGGCATGGTGCGGCAGACCCCACTTTGGGTGGTGGAGGCGGTGAGACAGAGGAGGGCGTGATCCACGTGGATCGCGAGGCGGGTGGCCCCGGTGACGAAGGAGTCCCGGAACAGAAGGACGTGCCTGAGGTTTATCCAGGCACTGGGGAGAGGTTGGATGACTGGCGGAGGCGAGCAGGCAAGGGAGCTGCAACGGAGGGGTCTTCCAAGAGGAAGGAAGGAGGGAGTGATCCGACTGCCACCCCAGCAGGGAAGAGGCTTCGGCAGCAGAAGGTGACTGATGTCTACGGTGGCGAGTGGGTTGCCCGCCATAAGAAGGCATTCCTTCACTGGTTGTATTCCAGCGGGGTCTCCTTCAATGCCTTCCGCAACCAGGCGTGGAAGGCATATCAGCTGGTGCTTCTTGAGCAGCCTGGCAGTTCCCCACGCGCAGTGCTCCCCAACCACTGCAAGATTGCGAGTATGCAGGCGGTGGAGACCCACCGTGCGGAGTTGGCGGAGGAGTTGGAGGAGGTGAGGCAGCCATTCTGGGTGACTGGTGCCACCCTCCTCTCCGATGGGAGGAAATCACGAGGCGGGAGACCGATCGTGAATTTCCTTGCTGCTGGCTCTCGAGGGGTCGTCGTGTACACGACGATCAATCGAGAGGGCGAGCCGGACGATGCAGTGCACGTCCTTCATAGATGGGTTACCATCTTCCACGAGTTCAGCTTTGGCGGGCCGTAGTGGATCAATGCGATATGCATTGACTCCGCTTCTGCCTATGTGGGGGCTGCGAGGGCATTGACCTCGCCGTCCATGCCTCCTGCACTGAGGAGGATCACTTGGCTCCCGTGCTTCGTCCATGTCTGCAACAAATTGTTGTCAGATATGGGAACGAGTTGCGACGTGTTTGTGGACGCGATCACACGCGCTCGTGTGCTGGTGGTGTTTTTCAAAACCCACCAGGCCGCCCTTCATTTTTTTAGGACTCGCAGCCCCGAGAAGGGGCTTATTCTTTCTTGCGAGACGCGGTTCGCGTCTGTTTACTCCATGCTGGAGAGGCTGTTGGCCCTGCAGGACACTTTGCAGGACATGATGCGAGGGAACGACGCACGGGTTTTTGCTTCCATCCCGTGGTCCGCCGATGTGTGCGTCATGGCGCGGTGGGTGCGCCGACAGATCAGATGGGATCCATGGTGGCATCATCCATATCATGCAGCCCGTCATGGAGTTGCTCAGGAGGATGGATCGTGGAGGACAGTACATGTCCCTCATGATCAAGTGGACACAGGATCTTGTCCGCCGTGTCACGGTCGCATGCGCCCCTTTGGGGACGTTGTTCGCCGACCGGATCATCAGGCGTGTGCAGGCTCGCATACAGCACATGCTTGAGCCGTCTCACTGCGCAGGGTTCTTACTAAACCCCCGCAGGCGACACGTTCGCTACTTTTCGGGGCAGGTGGAGAGGTACGATGCTTGGCTTGTGGGGCAAGCCAAGAGGTACATTTTGACGCAGACGGGATTCGAGTTGGAGGGTGCGGAGTACATCCTTGCATGTCGGCAGTTTGAGGACTTCCACATTCAGCAGGGCAGGTTCGGGGATTGGGGCGGTCCGGAGGGGCGTGCTCGTGGGCGCGCGTGCAGCGGCGACAGGGAGACGATTGAGTGCGCGTCTTGGTGGTCTCAGTTCGGGTCGGGCGCGCCACAGTTGCAGCGTTGCGCTCTTCGGGTGATGCACATGTGGTGTTGCGCCTCTCCAGCGGAGAGGAACTGGGCAGTCCACGAGGGCATTCACACGAAGAAGCGCAACCAGTTGGCCTTCGAGAAGGTCGTGCAACTCGTTGAGATCACCGCAAATGTGCGGTTGACTGAGTATCGACGGGCTGGATGGGTTATGTGCTACCATGGCAGCGGGACGAGGGCATGTTGGATTGCCAGGCAGGACTCGAGTTGGAGCCTGTGCGCACGGGAACTCGCAGGGGGATGACGGACGAGGAGATTGCTCGTCAGGTTGCACTTATTACCCGGGATCCCATCAGGGCGTCCGCACCACACTCGGCTGATGCCGTTTTCGATAGACGTGCTTGCATTTTTCGTCCCTACCCCAGGGACGACGACTCAGACGAGGAGCCGATACCCGAGGCGACAAATGACCCTGCGCTCCGCATTCCTCGGGAGATCGACGAGACGCACGGGGATCCCGGCTCCGAGGACACGAGGACACAGACTGCATGACGGGCGGCGGACCGGGCGGAGAGCGAGATGCTGGGTGGAGACGAGGACTTTTGGGGCCCATTCGGTGAGGTCGCTTCCACGGGCGGCCCAGAGGCGCAGGCGACGACCCCCACTCCGACGAGGCGGGATTCGTCCATGCCGCCACCTCGTGCTCCGAGTCCTGCACCACGATCGCCCGTCTCGCCACTTCACCCGGACAGGGAGGAGTTGGGGTCCTCTTTGCCTCAGCGAGGCCTTCTTCACAGAGGCGGGGCAGTCCGCCAAC